CCATCATTGTTGTTTCGCGGCCCAGGCTGGGGATTCGAACCCGCCACCTTAGGTGTACGTGGCTGGCGCCTTAGCCGGTTGAGCCACAGGCGCCAAGCCATAACAGTAAATTTTAATACAGGGTATCCATTATTGTTACTGCTTGAATATTTACAGTAAACCTATGTAACTTTTGAAATTATAAAAGCAAGAAGAATGGGGTAGGAGGAAGCACAAGGAACTCCAGGCCATGCACAAATAAGCATGGGCTTGCCCAGGTGATGAGCCATCCTGAGAGGAGGGGATCTCATGACAACATGTCCTCCTTGCCACTCTCACCAGGAGAACAGGTCATAGCTAGCTGCACCCAAGTGCACCCTGCAGCTAGGAACTGGATGGACAGGTGTTTGACCAAGTCAGGGTTGGTACACTGGCACCCATGACCAGCACCTGGGCTCAGCAAGGGGAGGGCAGCACTTAGATGGTCATGTGGCCAATTTTTCAAGACCCTCAAAGACAAAGGGAGTCAAGGCAAGAGAGCCCTGGTGTCAATTCCCAAAACATCATCTTTCCACTTCTGAAAGTATCTGGAATCCCAGATATAAGACCTGGGAGGGGCAAATGGGGAAACTGAGCCCCAAGAAGTGGTGTGGCTGCCCCAAGTCACAAGGTGAGTAACTAGCAAGGCTGGGGTCCAGAGCCTCAGCATCCTGCTTCTAGTCCATTGAGACCTACCTGATATAGGTAAGGGCGTTGCCCTCAGGAAAGTTGTAGGGGTGCCGCTTCCTGAAGACATGGCCCACGCGGCTGCAGGGGACGATCTCCAAACTGCCACCACACATCCACACCCTGAAGGAGAGCTCTGCAGGAGACGGCTGCTATCAGGAGGAGGAAGGGATCCTTGGCCAGACCCCACTGAGCGAGGGTGAGAAAGGGCTGGCTTCCCTTCTGCTTGGCTTCCTGCTGGAGGAGCATGCTGGGCTGGAGCTCTCAGGCCTGTCCGGATGGGATGCTTCTGGTCCCCCTGACTGCTCCCCCCTCGCGTGTACATGCATGTTCTCACACACACATGTGCACGTGAGCGCACACCCATGTAGCAGAGGCCTGGGAGAGCAGTGGGGAAGCTTTAAAGGGTCACCAAGAACGTAAGTGGAAGGAAAAGCAAACCAGCAGCCTTTGTCTAGAAAGCTGAGGCCAGACATGAGCTAAGGAAGAACACATCTGATCCTCAGCCAGCTCTGGGCATTTGTGAGGCTGGAAAACCAGCCGCCAAACAAACCACTGGCTGCTCCAGCTGGCACCTTGCTGGCTGCCCCTGACCTCACTCTTGGGCTCCTGGCCCGGTTTGTCTCCAAGTACAGGCTGTCACTGGCCCTCATCAGACATGTTTCCTTTCGACGGTGTTGGTGGGGCTGAGCCAACTTTTGCAGATGACTCTGGTCCCCAGCACCGTCGGGAGATGCACGGGGTGGCCATCCTGCCTCCCAGAAGGGGACATCACAAGTTACCACGCAGTTCTCTACTCACTAATCACCATTTATGGTAAGAACCCACCTTGGTAGCTGGCAAATAATGTCACAAAATCTCTTCGGTTTCCTTCTTTCTTTCATATAAAATCTATAATTGGGGTTAAAATACCTCCTTCCTGTCCAAGAAAATCCACAATTTCTGTATTTTTTAAAAACTAAAACAAAAAACCATTTTATCATGATTCAGATGCTTTCGTTCATTTGGCAAATTTTTATCAAGCACCTACTATGTGTCATACATTGCTCCAGATTCCCTTATACTCTAGTATGGGAGACAAGAACCCAGTAAGCTAAGAAGCAAAAGAATACAAGTAAAAAGGAAATGAGCAAAACACGTAGAATGTCAGATGGTGATAAACGCAGTGGAGAACAATTAAGCAGGTAGGGAATTGAAGAGGGCTCATGGAGCTGGAGCTGGGGCTACATTTTAGGCTGATTAGGGAAGTCCTCAATGAAAGGGGACAGTAGAGCTAAAACCTGAAATAAGTGAGGGCGGGAGTCATGTGGCTGTCAGGGGAAGAGCAGTCCAGGCAGAGGGACCAGCGAGAGCCAGGACCTGGGGTGGCCCCTGTGGCTCAAGGAGTAGGGTGCCAGCCCCATATGCCGAAGGTGGCGGGTTCAAGCCCAACCCCGGCCAAAAACTGCAAAAATTAATTAATTAATTAATTAAAAATCCTTAAAAAAAAAAAAAAAAAAAGAGCCAGGACCTGGGCTGAGAGCATGGTGGGCAGGTCTCAAGCATGAGAAAAAAGGCTGTGCAGCTGGGTGCAGGGAGGGAGGACGGGCAAGGGGGTGTAGTTGGCAGCAAGGGCAGATGATATCGGGCCTGGTAGCCAGTATAAGGGCTTTGGGTTTTTCTCTGAGTGACAAAGGAACCCTTGCAGACTTTTAAGCAGAAGAGTGACATGTTTTAAAAGGATCCCTCCTGTGAATCCCACAGTTCTCATATTTGCCAGCCCCCTTCAAGGTAGTTTCTGGGCTTGTGAGTTTGGATCTCCTGGGAGACACAGGCACACGTCTCAGTTTGGGCATCTCCCTTCTTTCAACAAAGGAATTAAAATGAAAGGCTCAAATCTTCCAGCTGCACGAGTCTCAGGGCTCAAAACTGGTCCCAGCAGCTGAACGTCTGAGCACTGCAGCTAGCCTAGACATTTCTTTGAGTTTCTTCTAAGAAACAAAATCCTCCCCAGAACCACTCTGCAGTTTGCCTTTCAAGTTCCCCAACCACTGAGCCCTTGCCTGGGGCAGAATTTGAAGTTGGCTATTTGATCACTCACTTGTTTCTCCGCAGGTCCCTAGCCTAAAGGAAAAAGAAAGAAAAAAAAGGAGATAGTTGGTTTCCCAGTTTTCTAAGTTTTTACAGGAAACCAGCTTTGCCAAAGCTCCCTTCAGGCTGAGACCAAGGACACAAAGGAAATCACTTAGCCCCAAGGGGGTCAGAGTGGAAAGGTTACTGCACTCCAGTTCCCAGAATTCACTCCTCCAAACCCTGCCTGGAACTGGCTTCCAAAGAAGTTATAACAGAGAGAGAATCCCACTGGACAGCCTGCTCCTACTCCAGCTGGTTTTGAGAGGGGATCAGGCCTGGTTCAAGCCCCACTACTCATCTATTTCCCTCATCTGGGAGAAAAGGAAAAGGAGGCCCTCTCCTGACATCCCAGAGGTACAGACGTTGATAACAGAGCTGCGTGCACCTATTAGATGTGGAGTTTCCTCACTGAAATGTGAAAGGGAACAACTGCCTCAGTTTCCCCACCTGTCAAGTGGGTAGGCTACCACCTGCCTTACTCGTGAGGAAACAGTGGGAACAGGCTCTGGAAGTGACCAGTTCCACAGCAAGAGTGAGAACAGACCTTTGTATCTCACAGGCCACAGGGGCCTGCCTACATTCCCAGGCACCCCTGGGGTGACTATCCTTCTCCACCCAGCTCTATTCGGGAGGCTGCCTGACACCACTGGACTCCCTTCCCTCAGGCTGACAGGTTCGGCCAGCAGGACATACCAGCAGTGGATGGCAGGATGGGGGACAGTGAGGGTGGGCGCTTAGTCCCCTGATACCCCGACATAGGCACATGCCCAAGCCCACAGCTCCTCCCCCTGCCTCCCTGACCTAGAGTGGTTACAGCTCCCAGCAGTCATGCCCTGCTTGGTACCCCACTGTCCCTGTGGCTCCCTATGTCTTGCCCACACCCTGTGAACAGGCACTTTAATAAACACTGATGGTGGGTCACCATCTGTACCCCTCCAGGGCTCTGGCTGATAGACACTATCTAACCTCAATCTCACCAGCAACCCGGGAGAGAGGGCCCTTCATTTCCTATTTTACGAATAAAAATATGGAGGTTCAAAAAACTGAGTGACTTCCCAACTCACACATACAGGAATTCAGAGTGTGCACTCTGACCCTGCCTGGTGCCCGCTGCACAGGGCTCTGGGTACTGAGTGAGAAGCCAGTGTCTGCGACCCAGTCTCCCCACCTCCCCACTGAAACATGTCACCCCCACCTCTGCCTCCTTCACTGATACTTTGGGTAGGGGAGGGGGGCAGCCTCCCATCTTTTCTGAGTCTAGAAGGTTCCTATGGCCTCATGCCTAATGATAGTGGCCATGCACAGTGCATTCTGACTCAACATCTCCTTGAGCTCTCATGGCAACCTCTTCAGGAAACTCACTTTGGGAGGCTTTAACTGGCCCAAGGCCAAACAGCTTAAAAGCAGTAGCACCAGGGTCTGCACCGACCCTAGGCTGCACCCCTCCCACCCCTTCCATGCAGCTGTGGTCCATCTTCTTCCACACAGGTCTAGTCACGTGGCCAATGGCTCCCCTGGAACACCTCTTTGCTTACTAACTCTGTGGCTCTGGACAAATTGCTTAACTTCTCTGTGCCTCAGGTCATTTTTTTAAATCAGTAAAATGGAGATCATAGGACTTACTCTCCACAGAGGTTCTTGTGAAGATTAAATGACTTAATATGTGTAAAGTCCTCAGAACAGGCCCTCATGCATAGAAAGTGCTCAGTCGGGGCTAACTATTATTATTACTGCTGTTGGTTTTACTGCTATTATTTCCCAACTCACCAAAATTCTCTCCCCCCCAGATATCCATCTGGGCATCATACTTTCCCAAGTGGTTAAACCAGGACTTGTCAATCACGAAGATTCCTCCAGCTATGACAGGTGTCCTGGGAACAAGGAGAGGGAGGAGGTGACATTGAGCTGAAGAAGCTAGAAGCCCCTTTAGATGCCCCAAGGCCACTTAATCCCAAATCCCCTGACTGCAGCGCCTTCCGGGCAGGATATCCGGCCAGCTGCCTCCACAACTGTTCTTATGGCCTATGTCCCAGCAAACAGTGTCAGCACTTAATCTGTGCACGGCCTCCCAAGAGCCTCCCGGACCCCTAAACCAGGGAAGGAAGGGGGTCTCCCCAGAGCCCACAGCAACCCTAACCTTATGGGCCTGGTGGGGTCTGTCCGAGTCATCTTCTGTTCAAGAGGAATCTGCTCCCACTTGAAATGCAGGCTCCAGTCAAACCCTAAGGGACAGAACAGGGCAAGGACAAGGATCAGGGCAGAGTCCACCAGGTGGGGGTGGTAGCTGCTGACCCTTCACTCCACCACCCCTGATGAGTTCTCAGCTCACACAGGGTCCTGAGTTCCTGCCCTCATGAAGTGTACAATCTACAGGCTAGGAAAGAAAGTACAAAGATAAATAACTAAGTGGATAATATGTCAGCTGGGGATGAAAAGTGCTAAAAAAAAAAAAAAAAAGAAGAAGAAGAAGAAAGGAGGAGTGCCCATGTTATTTTAGTAAGAATAGTTAGGAAAGGTTCTCTGACAAGGTGACATTTGAGTAGAGACCTGAATAAAGGATGGATCCCTGCAACTATCTGGGGAAAGTCCCCTTCTGGGCAGGGACAGCAGCAAGTGCAAAGGCCCTGTGGTGATCAAGGAGCCCCCAAGCTCTAATGAATGGCTATATCCATTTACCGGGAGTCAGATCCCAAACAGAAAATCCTCTATGCACACAAGCTCTCAGCAGCAGATTCTCTAGCTCAGGACTGTGCAGTATAACTCTCTGCAGTGATGATGTCTTATACCTGCATCGTCTGGTATGGTAACCACCTAACCTCATGTGGCTACTGAGCACTTGAAATGTGGCTAGTGTGACTGACTGGATTTTAAATTTTATTTACTTTTAATTAATTTAAATTGCCAAGTGTAGCTACTGTCTACTGTATTGAACAGCCCAGCACAGGGCAGTCAAAAGAAATATAATGCAACTGACAAATATAACCTACATATGTAATTTCAAGTGTTTAATGGACACATCAGAAAAAAATACATACAAGTAATTTCATTAAAATATTTTCAATGTAGTATGATCAGAATATTATCATTTCAACATGTAATCAATATGTGAAATTACTAACGAGATATTTTACATTCTATTACACTAAGTCCTGGAACTCCAGTTTTGGGCATGAGTTTTTTTTTTTCTTTTTGAGACAGAGTCTCAAGCTGTCCCCCTGGGTAGAGTGCTGTGGCATCACAGCTCACAGCAACCTCCAACTCCTGGGCTCAAGCAAGTCTCCTGCCTCCGCCTCCC